CAAATTAGTCCCATACATACCAAGATCGTACCTAAATTAGTGTTCCCGTTCGCCGATAGTGCCGCGGAGGACGAGAATGGTGCCGAATCCGCAGAGGATTGTGATCTTGGTGTTGTTGAAGGTCTGGTGGATCTGGTGACCGTGAGGTAGGTGGGAATTTCGGCCGCCGACGTCGGCGCCGACTCTACCGCCGTTGGCCGTGGTGGGTAGAAGTACTCCGCCTCGCTTCTAAGTGGTTAAATTTTCTTGACCCATTATGCTCTTCTACACCCAATTTTTCTTTCTGTTATATAAAACACACACACTATAAATTGTTAGGAGAGACAAAATGGGGGGACATGTAAAACCCTAGCTGTGAAGTAGTTGTAATGGGCAATTATATCCAATTGATATTCTAAATGGTTTAAAGAGAGAAAGAGAGACTTGATAAGAGAGAGAAGGGCAGCTCTGGAAGGTTTAGCGATCTAGATCTAAAAGCAAAGCCAAAAAACAAAAAATAGCTCTGGAAGGCCCTGCTTGGAATGGTTCTCCCAAAATAGTTTTCTGTTTTGGGAGTTACAAAAAACAGTTCTTAAAAAAATGGCCTGCTTGGAATTATATTGTAATGACCCGGATTTTTTAGATAAATTTTTTTTCCGTTGTCTTTTCCCTTCTGAGTTTGGGTTCTTGTCGATTAGTGTCGTCTCGAGTGCTCTGGAGTGATTTCCGAGACTCTTTTCTGTGGATTGACAACTTCCTTTGAGGACCGAGTCATTCCCACATTTTTTGTTTTTCGACACTATTCATTTTTTGTCTTTTTCCCTATTCCGTCTTTTCCTCATTTGTCACTCTGTTTGCGTAACCACACTTCTTGTGTTCGGAGTTGGTTTCTGACTTCACGTATCTTCATTCCCAATGATTTCTATAAGATACGTATCTTTACTTTCGTGAGAAAGTACTCTGGTTACTCCCGATTTGAGCCAAACTTGTTTTGGGCATAAATGCAAAGTTCTTTGGAAACCTTTTCTTTTCTTGGGGTGTTTTTCATAAATATCTTTTGAAGATTTCATTCTGGGGCAGTTTCATAATTTTCACTTTTTGGAGGGGTCATTGTGTAATTAATGAAAGTTATTGCTCAATGCCTTGTTTTGAGCCTGGATCCTCATATGGGATTCATTTTCACATTTCGTCGAGTCATGGACTCTTAGAATTTCCTCCTGGACGATATTTTCCAGTTTCAGGGTTTCTGGCCCCAATTTGAGCCAAACTTGTTTTGTGCATAACTCTCTGCTCGAGACTCGATTTTTGACGCCGTTTCTTCCGTTGTTCATATTTTCTCATTTGGAATCTTTTTTGTTCATGGATTTTTTCCATTTGAGCTCGTCTGCGTGAATTCCACTTTTCCGGACCCGGCGGGGCCCGTTCGGGGCACTTTTTGAGTTTTTCTATAAATAGGAGGTCTTAGAAAGAAAAATCAGATTTTTCTCTCTTTCTCCTCTCTCATGGCCGGTCCAAGCTCCATCAATGGCTACCATCTTCTCCCTCCTCTTTTGGACTTCTTCCCTTCATTAAAAAGTGGTAATGCCTTTATGTTTATTGTTCCCCTCGGCGAGGCCTTCGATTCCAACCAATTGGAATCTTGTTTTGGCCGTTTCTTGAGTTCGGGTTTGAAGTCAAGTTGTGTTTTTGATGGAGCTTCCTTGGGATTCATGTTCGTGGTGTTGTCCCCGACAAAACCTAGGAGTTTCGTCAGATTCAGAGCCGATTTATTTGGGTGGAGATTTGAGATTTCATCTCAAATGGAGGTAGGGGGTGTCTTAGGATTATATTTGTGTTGTATTGATGATTATATGAGCTTATACAACTTGTATGCATGCTTTAGTTCAAGATCTAGAAATTAATTTAATTAATTTCTTTGTTTAAGGTTTAATTTCCATGATAATATGTAAATTGGATTTAGATTGTGACATGCTAGAAAATTTGGCTTTGGTATGGTTGTTGACATATATTAAATTTGGATCATTTGGTTAAGAATTACAAATTTTATTTAATATTTATCTTTGGTGAAAGTTTAATTCAAATGGTCATAACAAGTATGAAATCAAGTTGTAATGTGATATTTAGATAGGCCTTGGCATGTTCTCTAACATATCTTAAATTGAGGGCATTTGGAATTACTTAGAAATCTAGAGGAAATTAAATAATTAGCTTAATTAATTTTGTTTTAAGTGTTTTAATCACTTAATTGGTCCTTTAGAGTTATATATGTGACGACCATGACATGTCCTTCAACATATATTAATTTGGGGTTATTTGGAATTAATTTAGAATCTAGAGAATTTGATTATTTTTGCTTAATTAAATTTTATATTTTTGCTCCATGGATTTTATTACGTTTTGGAAGTTGTTTTTATGTTTAAATCATGGACTTCGACTTGTTGTATGTTCACTTGGTTATATTTTGAGCATTAGATAACATAGTTGTTATATTAATATTCATGAGAATGTGTTTTCCTTAATGAATATGTTGTTGCCTTATGTAAGAAATTGCACTCTTTGTATTGGACATTTTTCATGCCACAGTAGTTGTGGAATTTGTGCATATATTGCATATGTTTCCAAATTTGGTTGTGCTTGGTAGATAGTTGATATCTTGTATATACATGTTGATATATATGTTGTTGCACAACTTGTTGATTTTGGAAACTTGGGGATGTCGATGTTTGGCTACGGCTAGGACTTGGTTCTAGTACGGGGGATTGTCCCTCTACATAGTCTAGTGCGCACATAGGGAGGTTACCCGTGGGCTAGTAACCCTAAAGTAACTATGGTGTCGGTCTGATCCGGTGTAACGTCCAAGTATCCACTTTGGTTGATTTCGCATTTCGTTTCAAATTGATATCTATATGATGTTATAACTTATTGTTTCTTATTTGATTCTCCATATTTTGTTGCAGGTTGTTAACTTTGTGAAATCATGCTTTATCATTGTATTGGAAGTTCCAATGCTGGTTAAAGTGTATTGATATCATGATTCGTGTTTTGATGTTCAAATATGGCTTAGGAATGATCCTATAATTTCATTTAGAACATAGACGTTAGGTGGCATGACCCATTTTGGTAATTCTTGTGTTTTAGATTTCGAGTTCATAACTTTGAAAATCTATGTCTTGTTGCTTTGTATAACATGCTTCCATGTTGCTTGAATTGCATGAATGATGTGTTTCATGCTAGAAATGATCTTAGGTAGCTTAGGATGCTCCCCGAGTCACACATTGATGTAGACGTTAGGTGGCATGAGCCCTTTAACATGTTTCACCATAAGGTGATAATTTGTAAAACGCTAGGTCGATGCATGCTCACTTCCTACGAGTAGCTTTATGTTACTCACCCACGTAGTAGGGACATTTTTCAGGTATGAAGACTTGGTTCATGGTGCTCATTGCTCCTTGGATGGCTTATAGTTTTTAAGTTTCCATTTTATGCAAGTGTTAGCATAGAATGCCTCTTTGTAACCTTATGTATCAAAATGTGTATTATTTGATTCCATATATGTAGTGTGTACATGAGTACACTCTTTACAATGTATTTGATATGTATGAGATGAGGCCAGAGGCCAATGACATGTAATTTGTATCCTATGTAATTTTTTACTTCATGGAATATTATAAAAATATTAAAAAATGTTGAGTTATTGCTTCACCATGTTTGCATTGGGTGTGGGAATTCTATTTTGATTCTTCCCTAGGGTCTTGTTAATCTTGTATGAAGTGTGGCCAAGGGCCAAACGTTATTTTGGAACTATTTCATTATTTTGAATTCCGAATTTTCGTTCTAAGTTCCATTTTTTGCCTTTTTGCCCGTTGGGGGGTCGGATTTTGCATCGGCTATATTTTTAAGCCATGGACCATTGTAACGCGTCTAAATAGGTAAGTTACGTTCGCATACATAGTCGTTTCTGGGCAAAACCTCATCGTTTGTGTTTTGAGCTTCCAACGGACTCATTTTACACTTTTGTTGCATTATCTGACCTAAGGGTATTTTGAAAATTTTCTTTGGGAAATAAATTCCATTCTTCATATGGTTGAATAGAAAGCATGATTTTAGGGGGGGTTTCTTCTTCGTGTTTTTCCATAAAATGTCGTCTTGGTATCAGAAATCGATCCCGAAGTTCAGCTTCAGTTTTTCAATTTAGCAGCTTTTTAGACCCTCTGGACTAGTTTTCTTGGGAGGGAATTTTGGGTATTTCATAGTACGTATTTTTTGATTTTTCACATAACCCATGTAGAAAACTCGATTTTGAGGGGGGTTTCTTTTTTGTGTTTTTCCAGAAAATGTCATCTAAGGCCTCAAATTTTTATTTTTTCCCGAAAAACCCCTGCTACCAGGTTTTTGGACTGCCCATTCTGCCTCCTTCACATGTAAACGTTTAGATAGGGCCTCGTAACCGGTTACATGTGCATGGGCAGTGTTTTGGTCAAATTTTTTGGTCTCCTAACCGGTTAGGAAGGCTTGGTAACCGGTTAGATGTTCTTGGGTTGGCACTTTTTGACCGTTTTGCCCCTTCTTCTTCCGTTAGCCATATCTTCTTCATTCGGACTCCAAATCAAGTGATTTTTGAGTCTAAGTTCATTAATTTTTCGTTTTCTTTCCAATGGTATGCTCGATGACACCCACTTTTAGGCTGGAAATGACGTTTTTGCCCTTAGGTTCATTCTTGTTCGTTTTTGAAATGTCACTTCCACATTTGATTCCTCTGGGTTCCGTGACCTCGTTGAAGGTCACATTGGTGTCTTAGAGTCATGTTGTATTTCTAAAGACCATTGTTTGTCTTTTGCTTCCGTATTTCGGATCCGTTATCGGGTCATCTTTCGGTTCATCACTGACGCACCGGGTTGAAAAACTTGGGCCGTCACATATATTATAAAAACAGTTTTTTCAAAACTAAGTTCTTAAAGTACCAGTTTTCTAAGAACAACTCAGAGTTGTTTTCCCTGTTTTTGAGAACATGCGGAGAACACTGTTCTCCGCTTAAAAAAGCGGTCCGTACATTTTTATAATCCTCGTTTATAACAGTTTTGCGTAAGTTGAAACCGGCATCTCGCTCCTTCACGATAAAGCTCTGCAACACCTCATCTGAAACCGGCATCTCGCTCCTCTCTACCGCTTCTCTCTACAAGATCGCTCTGTAACGCTGCACTTCTCTCATCTGCATCCACACTGTTGCTCAAATTTTTTCAAGCTCCATCTGTTCAGGTAAACACAAATCTGGTATTTTTCTGTAACAAGTTTTTGGTTATGGATTTTGTTTTTTGGATGAGTTTGGTTGCAGATTTGATTATTGATTTTGTTGGTTGGGTGAGTTTTGTTGTGGATTTGATATTCAGTTTAGGGATTTGTGGTTTTTAGTTTAGGGATTTGATTTTCAATTTAGGGATTTGATTTTCAATTTATATATGTGTATGTATATATTGGTCTACATATATATATATGGTCACTCTTGGATTCGGTTCACCCACCCAGTGATAGATTTTCTATCACCAACATGCATGTCTCCTCTAATTTGAGCATTTTGACCGAAATTAATCTACCTCGACAGTACAATACTGTTGATTAAGAATATCTCCCATCGGAGTCAAAACTTATGCAAGTTCAGGACTGCAATTTTAACAGAGATGCCCACTTGTACTCCTTAAAAAACAAAGTAGGCATATGCACAAATTATAATGTTCTATCACCAATAAAGGATGGCATCTCAAATTGCTGATGTTGAGGAGTCAACTCTGTGGTCTACACAATTAGAGAGATGTTTTGTTGATATAATGGTTGAGGAGGTCAACAAGGGGAACATGCCATCTAGGATATTTACTTCCAAGTGTTGGAAAAAGATTGCGGAGGAGTAAATCCACATCCTCTGATCGTCGTGTAAAAAAGGAGCGTAAAAAAGATTCCATTAGTGATACTCTTGCTTGTATTGTTGAAGCTTCCAAAACAAGGACTGAAGCCTCCAAAGTAAGGACTGAAGCTTCATTAGCTAAGGCAGAGACGTATAAGAAAATGAAACATACTCAAAAGGCAACTAGCCCAGACGCATACTCTCTAAGTAATTGTATTGAATGCCTTGAGGGTCTTGATGAGATAGATGATGACACATATTTGAAGGCAACTGAAAATTTCAAGGAATTACACTATAGAGAATTGTTCATTAAGATGAGTATTTCCAGGAAGTTTGCTTAGTTGAAGAGCTTGGACTGACTTGAAGTTTGCTTGGTTGAAGAGCTTGGACTGACTTGGGTGGTTACTGAATGCAGGGTTTAGTTTTTGATTACATGTGATTTGAAACACATATTTGGTTTTATGTGTTATTGAACAATTTTCGTATGCCTTATTTTGTTTTTTTGTTGTTTTTTTTTTTTTTTTTTTTTCCTATGCATGTGACTTTATGTTATATTCGTGTGTAGGATAATTTATTATGTTTTATGTTATGAAAACTTTGTTTTGGTGTACCTTTTATTATGTTTAATTTATAATGTTTCATGTAACTCTTTTACTGTATTTAAATTTAGGAAGAATGTACATGAAGTCCCATGAAGGGGAAACAAAATACAAGTACCAAACAGAACCTCCATTTTGGAGTTATGCAGAAAGAGGATTGTAATTAAACTTGATATATGTATTTGTGTAACTGTTATTAAGTTAAGAATATTAGCTAAAATGAATTTACCTTCAACACTTATTTACATTAATAGTTAATATCATAAATTAAAGAAATAAAAAAATGAGGTACAATAATATTTTTATTTTTTTTCTTAGTTTAAAAACTATTTTCAAAAACTCATACAACCAAATAGTTTTATGAGTTTTTGTTTTCCGGAAACTGTTTTGTAAATTCTCTTAACCAATCAGGTATGAAATCTGAAAAAATTGAAAACTGTTCTCTAAAAACTATTCTTGAGAACTGTTCTCAAAAACAGTTCTTTGAAATGCAATCCAAGCAAGGCCTAAAAGTTTTGAAAGCGTGGTAGAGAGAGAATGAAAGGGGAGAAGATGGGGTTATTTTGGTCCCATAAAAATGTTAGAGCAACGGGTAAATCTAATAATATTATTAGACATTTGTCATGAAATAATTGGTCCACGTACCCAAGTTGGATGAACTTCATCCAACCTGAATTGGACCCAAACATTGTCCTTTAGATAATCATGACATGTGTTTATTAAGAGTTTAAAATATATATATAAAAGAGTAGTGACAGGGACGAATTGTTATCTTTGAATTCTCATCGAATCTTATGTGGGGAAGTCATGTCACGTTCATTAACGTTTTCTCTCTCATCATGTGCCTTGGATGTGTTTTTCGTTGTTTATCTTTTGTCTTCAACATCAAGACATAGATTAACTAGACCTCAAGATATGGGTTTTGTTGGATTTTCACCCCCAATCTAAATCTGAACTCTGTTCAATTAACGATCTAGAAACGAAAAAGAAAAAATGAAGAGGTTTCTTCAAGCAGTGCAATTGATAAGAAAACACAGATGTCAAATCAGCAAAGATAATTTTCAATAGAAGCATATATATATATATATATATATATATATATATATATATATACACACACATAAATATTACCACAAACCCATTATAAATTATGTCATCCATTTATTTATTGTTTAGATCTATCAATTTTATTCACATGAATTCTGATTTGGGAATGTAGGTTCACTACAATGACAGACAATCAGAAGTTGATCGATACAAATTTTGAATTCTCTCACATCTAATACGACTCTTTTTGGTAAAAACAATTTGAAACCCATCATCTGATTCCCAAAGGCAAAACTGAAGAGTACACTCTCACGGCCATGACATGTCTGCCCCCACTGAATTTTTTATATTTTTATTTTATACTTTAATTTTTTTAAAATTTATGAATATGCCCCCATTAAAATTATAATTTGCCCTTACTGGATTTTTTTTTTTTTAAAACATTTTACACTTTAAATTTTAATATATAAGTTTACCTCCAAAAAATTAGAAGTCCGCCCCCTCTCACAAAATTTTCTAGGTCCGTCACTACTCACGGCCTCTCCTTTTTTTCTTCTATATTTTTGGTTTTCCGTTGAATCGCACTGGGTCGCCGTTGAGTGCTAGGATACAGTTTGTGAGGTTGAAGAGAAGACAACCTACCCAAGCCACGTGAGGTTAGAGAAGATGTTAAATACTCACATTAAAGACGTTTATGCAATTTGACGTGGCTCAAATTTGGAGAAAGTTCGGGGATAATCCATTCAGTTTCTTTATCATTATTCAAAACAAAAAAAAAAAAAAAAAAAAAAAATTTACAAAACAACTCTTAATTTTTTTCTCTTATATTTTAAATTTCAAATACAAACGTATTATTTTATATTTTTTTACACCTAAAGAGAAGTTTTCTTCTTATAGCTGACATGTCAAGCATACGAAGATCCATAAGCTTCATCCCTGTTTTCCATCGGCGATAGACCCATAAACGTCATCATTGCTTCCACCGGTAATAAACCCAGAAGCCTTCTCATTGTTTACCATAGGTGATAGACACTGTTTTCCACCGGTAATAGACCTAGAAGCGTCATGTTTGCTTCCACCGGTCAGTAATTTGAGGGTATGAGAGAGTAAAACTGATATTGTGTGTGTATATATATATATTAAAGTCAGTAATTTGAGCTTAGGTAACGGTATATTAGTAATTTAGTCAAGTTTGTTAATTCATTTAAAGGGGTTCCTATAATTATGATAAATTATGAAAAAGGTCAATGTAAATTATCCTTTATTTATTTATTTTTTTTACAAGGAGTAGTTTCTTTCAATAACTGACATGACCTTATATGATTAGACTTTATTATTAACATTAATTTCATTTACCTAAAAAACATAGGTCAACGATTTTACCTTCCTTAGTAACATACGTGAACGAATAATATTATGATAATGTGCATAAATTAATATATGAAAAGAAAAAAAAAAAAAAAAAAACCACCATCATGAAGCTACCACCAAATCTTATTTTCACAAGGAAAAATACTAATGCATTTCCTATTTAGGTTGGCCAGCCAAATTTGAATTTTTCCATATGCTATTTAAAATTTTTGGTCGAACTGAAACAATAAAAGTCAAACTTAGTTTCTTACCTCATTGATGAGGTCATAATCCCCACCCTCTCTCTATATGTAGTACCACACTCCTACAACAATCCACATTCAATACACAAATTAGGCGTTCCCTCTCTCACCAAACGACCTTCTCTCTCTACATTTCATTGCTTTTGTTAAGTTACCACTACTTCCTACTACTTTGTTCTCATGGCAAAATCACCAGAGACAGAGCACCCAGTGAAGGCCTTTGGATGGGCAGCTAGAGATTCCTCTGGAGTCCTCTCTCCATTCAAATTCTCCAGAAGGTACTCTCTCTCTCTATATGTTATATTTGTTTTTGTGTATATATATATATGTGTCTGTGTGTTTGTTTGGTGTTTACGTATTTGGATTAATTATAATTATAATGTCAAATCTGAATAGTGTTTGACTGTAGATTTTGATGATGATGGTGGCGTTTGGTATGATGTTTACAGGGCAACTGGAGAGAAGGATGTGAAATTCAAGGTGTTGTATTGTGGAATCTGTCACTCTGATCTTCACTTTCTCAGGAACGAATGGGGCATGTCTTTGTATCCTCTCCTCCCCGGGTATGATTCAACTCCTTTTCTCTCTCTCTCAAATTTGATATATATATATATATATATATATATATATATATATATATATATTCAAATTTTAAGCAACCAAGGATCCTCTCCATTAATTTTTCTCTCTGACAATCATCCAACGTCTACGAACATGTCACGTCATCTTTTTTCTTAGGATTTTGTTTTTTATTATGCAGTTGTATTACGTAGTTGAAAGCTAGTGATGACGTAATATGTTAACATCCTCCTTAAAAGGGAATTTGCCACTCACCAGACTCCAAATTCTTAACATCCATAACATGTCACTCATGAGACTCGAAATTCTTAACATCACCTTTTAAAAGGGAGAGATCATACCATCCGGGCTAGAGATCTTGTGATCTTAATTTTGAAATTACATTGTAGTTTTGGACAATTTTTGACAACAGTGCATGTAGGATTGAATTGTTTAGAACACTGATAAAAATCAGTAACAAATATGTAAATGTCAAATGGTATTCGAGATTCATAGAAAAAATTTGGAGAATTGATATTCACTACATAATTAGAAAGCATAAATATACATGCTGAGAAATTCATGTAGAGCCTGTTCTTTTGGAGAATCCAACGATTATCGCATTTTTTCTTTCCATGCCACAAATCTGATAAACAAGGAATGCTTAGACCCAGTTCTGTTATTTTCTAGTCATTTGGTTGATGACTTTCAATTGGTATCTTAAATGACAATGAAGCAACACAATAGATTGACATCTATTAGTTATACTGCAGATAAAGGGTCCACAATTTTCGCCTCTTTTACATGCCTTGATTTGATAAGACAACTGCATCAATGCTTTAATTTGCACTTCAAATTTTGAAATAGAGAAATATATTTAGCCATAAATTATTTAGTGTTTTGAGGGCCATGTGATCCCTGTCGGAGACCACATGATACCAGAAATGATTAGGCGACCAATCCAGTGACAGAGTAAATGAAGAGGATATTTTTCCGCGAGGCCATGTGAGCTTTAAATTATTAAGTGGTCTTCTATTTACCAATAGAAACTAGAAACCTTAAAGGATGGGCTACGACGCTAAAAATGCATGCCATCCTAAATGACCCTGAAGTCTTTTGAGTGTGACAACAACAATGACAGATGACCATGAATTCTTTGAGTGTGTTCTTCTGTTACATCACAGTTGCGAAGAAATAGCTGCATTTTTATGCCTGTAATACTGTACAATGATTTTACCTGCAAATATTTTAAAACAGAAGAAACTATTGGACATGAACACACCATTTTTTGCCACAATTTTCCAAACAAAAAGACGATAGCCTAAGACAATAGATGTAACTGTGGAAGAAGTTGAAGAACTAGTAGCACAATTATTTTTTCTCAAGTATTTTCGATCTATTGCTTCTGATCAACTTAAATATGCTTAGCAGCTTAGGGAATCAAATCAGTCTCAGCGGCTGTAAGAATTTAAAATTATTTTTTCTCAAGTATTTTCGATCTATTGCTTCTGATCAACTTAAATATGCTTAGCAGCTTAGGGAATCAAATCAGTCTCAGCGGCTGTAAGAATTTAAAATTTTGCTGATAGGTTTCCAAGTAGTTGAGTCGCAATTGGGTTTCTGATGCATGTTATGTTTAAGCTCTCAATCAATTCTGTAGAGTTAGCCACAGGCTAGTCACTGTCAATATTCAGATTTGCAAATCCCTGGTGCCTTTTGAGGGATATATTCATGATATGTAACCCTTCAATAACTTTTTGGATGCTGAGTTATTGTATGTTATATGTAGTTGTTTTCGGTTGCAATCTATTAGAAAATATTGGACCCATATCAATTGAATTGGTTGATGCAGGCACGAGATTGTAGGGATAGTTACTGAGGTGGGAAGCAAGGTACAAAAATTCAAAGTTGGAGACAAAGTTGGTGTCGGTTGTGTGATTGGAACATGCCACTCATGTGACAACTGTGCTAATGATCTCGAGAGTTACTGTCCCAAAATGATACTTACTTACAGTACCATCTACTATGATGGAACAGTCACATATGGGGGTTACTCTGATACCATGGTTACCGATGAACATTTCGTGCTTCGTTGGCCTGACAGCCTGCCTCTTGATGCTGGTGCTCCTCTCCTGTGTGCAGGGATCACAACTTACAGCCCCCTGAGATATTTTGGACTTGACAAGCCCGGTAAACATGTGGGTGTGGTAGGTCTAGGAGGTCTCGGCCATGTAGCTGTGAAGTTTGCGAAGGCTTTTGGGGCTAAGGTGACGGTCATCAGTACATCCCCTAACAAGAAAAAAGAAGCCATTGAACAGCTAGGTGCTGATGCATTTTTGGTCAGCCGTGACTCGGATCAGATGCAGGTATCTGCTTTTTCTAATTATTGTTTTTATCTATCACTTCACTGAGGTTTTAGTGTGTTCTAATCGCATGTTAAATTTATATAGGCTGCAATGGGCACAATGGATGGTATCATTGATACTGTATCTGCAAATCACTCTATTTTACCGTTGATTGGATTGTTGAAGTCACATGGAACATTGGTTTTGGTCGGTGCACCAGAAAAACCACTAGAACTACCAGTGATGCCGTTGCTTATGGGTAAGTTTTTGACATCGCTAGTGTATTCTAGGAATTTGATACGATAATTTCCTGTTTCTCTTTGCTTCCTCGGCTTCTCTTATTAGAAATGATAACTAATGTGGAATGTGGTCTAACAGGGAGAAAGATTGTGGCTGGTAGTAGCACTGGGGGGATTAAAGAAATGCAAGAGATGCTCGACTTTGCAGCAAAACACAACATAACAGCTGATGTTGAGGTCATTCCGATGGACTATGTGAACACCGCCATGGGGCGTCTTGAAAAAGCTGATGTTAGATACCGTTTTGTCATCGACATTGGGAACACTTTGAAAGCTCCTTCATCCTAGGAATTTTGGTTTCTTCTGAGGATGATGTTTCATGGTCAGAGAAGGGATATTCCATGCGTCTACATGGTTGTCATCTATTGTTAGTGTAATCACTAAATCTGCAGTGTCGGATGTCATTTTGATTATGTTTGTTTTTTATTTTTATCGTATGTACATCGATTTTAGTCTTCTTGTAATGGAGGGCTTGTGTGATATGTAGTTTCATGTCTGTACTTTTTCATATGGAGAATTTGATATATAGTATGAATTTGAGTTATACTTTGGTGGTGTCACGGTTTAACATTTAGTTTAGAGCTTTTTGGGAGAGATGCACATATTACAAGAATTAGGTTAAGGGATCCGGAAGTGAGTAGTTAAATCAATCCAAGGTAATTCTTAAGATAGTGGAATCGGTATTACTTAATAGCAGTTCCAAAGATGCTCAATTCTGACAAAGATTTCTCCCAATGCATTTCAAAATCTTTTTTGGATCATTTGTAATAGTATCTCCGAGCTTATATCTAAGAGATAAAAAATTATCGGAATGTCATTATGTTTGAATTAAGTTAAAAATAAAATTATAAAATACAAATGACACATTAGATTAAAGTTCCGAGATGTTGAAAAGAAAAAATTAACATAGAATATCAAATGACATCTAATTCAATAGAGAAATTTAAGTCAATAGAGAAATTTAAGTCGAGTGTAAGAAAAAATGAATGTGTGAGTAGGCGTTCGAATATACTTATTGTTAATAACAAAAACTAATATAGTATCTCTATCCTTTTTACTAGTATGTTATTTTTGTTTGACATCACTGGCAAGGGGTAAAAATCACCTCCAGTGAAACAGTGTTCCATTTTTTTTCATTTTGAAATGAACTATTATTAAATTTTATGGTAATATTATTGTGTTTTAGGATATATTTTTTTCTTCATAAAGTACGTGTATCGACTCCATAAAATATATACTATTTAAGTTAGGAATGTGATTCAAAAACAAGATATCAAGTAATTACCTCTCGAATCCATGCTATTTTATAAATGGAATTGCTATACATAAAACTAGTATTTGTAAGAAAAGAACCAGATCATCTATCAAGCAAAAACAAAAAAAAACAAACGTATAAACTATAAATTTATATATAGGTTAAATTACCCTGAACTCTATGAAGTTTCACTTAATTACCATCAAACTTAAAAATTTTGCAAATTATTTCTAGCACCTATCAGAGAATCTGAGACGGGCATTTCATCAAACACCATACGAGCAAACTTATAGAACCCAATTTTGACCTCCGACGAATACTAGTATTAGGTACTCTCGTCGTCTACAATACATGATCATCATCGCTACGGACCTTGAATCTCTCTCACACATGCAATTAATTTCAATTTTCTGGAGAAAATGTAAATGTTTACTGATTCGTATATTGATTATTATGTTGTTTATTCGGATCGATTTTTATCTTTATTTTCTGAATGTCTGTTTTAGGGTTATTGGGTTCAATTTTGATCCGTTCGACTGTGAGGGCTGAAGTGAGGATGAACGTGAACGTGAACGTGAACGTGAAAAACTGGTGGGACTTGGACGGAAAAAAAGTAAGTGCGCCATTGCCCAAACAGTGAGGTTTTCCTGATTCATCGAATGCTTGGAAAACATACTATTATGAATGTTACCAGTGGATAATTGGACTTGTTTCTTACGATCCTAATCGAGTTGATTTTGAGTGCTAAACTTAGTGAGGTTGGATTGGTTGTGTGAGATCAATTTTGGTACCGAGGAGAGAGAGTGATGGGAGTGACAAGTATACAATATCCGGGATACTTACACGTGGAACTTCTGCAAGTTTCGCCCAATGCAAAGAGTAGACACTTTTTTCGTGAGTAAAGATGGAATAAAGTGTTCAAAATGAAGATGCTTAGATCTTCTCATGCAACATACTTCCATATATTGTAGAACCATTTTCGTTTCCAAAAAAAGACATTATCTAGAGAAGAGAATGAAAAAAAAAAAAAAGAAAAAAAAAAGAGGCGTTTAGTTTTTGTCCCGTCAAAGAGAGACTAAATATAAACAACCTTCTTATATGACGATACAGAGTGCTACTGAGCACGATAAGAAGACAGGCTTGGTTTAGTATTTGCCCCATCAAAGAGAGGCTAAGTGTGCACAACCCTAGTATATTGCGATACAACGTAGCTACTCTCATATATTCATATTTTTTTGAAAGTAAAGTATTGTATAACTATGAAAATGTACAGATGGGCCGAAGCCCCAAAATACAGCCCAAGGCATCGAGACCAAAAGAAGCCCAAACCCTAAGGCAAAGCTTATAATTAGAACTTTATCCCTAATTGTATACAGAGAGCCAACAGTTAATTGAAACGAACACATTTGTATTCTAGATGACCTAGAATATTGATGTGTATGCCAACCAAATTTCGGTGTGTGAAGGAGGGACAAAGCAGAGCAGATCCAATCCGATCTCGCCGACCTATCAGTCCGGAGGCTTCAGTGGCGTCCGGATAAACTCAGGAAGATCCCAATCAAGCTGCACTCTTTTGGCCTGAGCGAAATCTTTCACCTTCCTTGGAAGTGTTCTTTGTCTAACCATGTGCGTAATTTGTTTTAGAATTTCCATCTGCGAACGCCTTTGATTCTTGTGCTTTCTACTGTTGCGCTCTGTCCACAATCTGTTGACCGTGGTGGAGAGTGAGAGTTTACATACAGCGGTGAAGAGGCTTTGATTATTCCATCGATCTGAGGCCTAAACAACAAAGTCATTTGGTAGGGGGGGGGGATGCGTTTGTTCCTGGGGGGGATGCGTTTGTCCTGTATGGATATCCAAATTTGTCGAGTGAAATCACATTAAAAAAAAAAAGAAAAAAAAGACAGTTATGTGATTCATCTTCCCTTTGGCATAGCAGGCATAGTTTGGGACTAGGAGCAGATTTCATACACCTACGGTCAAGAGTGGAGAGTCAATTCTGTACAACCAGCCAGAGAGTGAACATACATCTAAGGACTGAGAGTGAACTTCAGACCAGATGGTGCCATGGTTTTTCCTGATGATGAGGTGCCAGCAAAGACAAACATTGAGTTTCAGAGAATGTGCCATTTGGAGAGTGTAAAGTTCCTGAATTTTGTCATTTTTCAAAATTTGGAATTTTCTAATTTTCGAGGGTATTTTAGTCTTTTCTCGTTTTGCGAGCCTGACACCGTCGGGTGTGCCAGGTGTGTTTGGAAGTTATATAGAACATTTCCTTGAGTTCAGGACTATTGGAAATGCACTGGTTGTTATTTCGGCATTTTTCCTTTTTTCAGGCCGGAACGTCCCAAGTGGGACCTGTTATCGGAGTTATTGTGTACGGGGGTTTTATTTGGGTTCATTTACATCTCATTCATTTTAATTCATATGTATTATGTGGTTATAATATAGTTGGTGTGTATATATATAAATTTGTGGTGAAAAATAAAAGTTAAAAGATTTTATTTTAGGGTGGGACCCACTATTTAAAAAAATAAAAATAAAGGGCCAATAGGCCATTTTGACCTCATTTTCTCTTCCTCTTTCTCTCTCTACGAAATATCTCTCTCTCCCTCATTATCTTTTTATTCTCTTTTGCTTCAAGTTTCAAACTTTGATTTTTCTCTCATCTTTGAGAGATTTTTGGTGTCGTTTGCGACAAGTCGAAGAGTTCGCCGAGATCTTCAATTTGATCGGAGCCAATCTCCGTTTAGTGCAACCTAATGAATTTCAAAATTCTAGGGCTTGGGGTGGAAAATTAGGGCTTTTCATCAAATTGAGTAGGGTTTCCTAATCCATGACTTCTTAGACCTTAGTGAGTCTATTTCTTCATGATTTGTGATTTAACATGTTATATTTGTATTATTTCACTTAAAATGAATTAAGTGTTGTATATGAATTATATGCTTATGTGTATTAGATGATTTGTGTGAGAAAACATGCTTATGTGTAAATTTCCATGCCTATTATGTACAAATTGTTGAAATTTAAAGTATGGAAACATGCTGATTTTGTGAGTTGTAAAGTCCTTTATTGACATAGCATTGGAAAGCATGAGAGATCCATGCATATCATTGGGCATGAAATGGGAGAATTTGATTTAAATGATAAGTAAATGGTTTTTGGGAAAATGTTTGATAAAAGGTTTGCGAAAACCCGGATGCCTAGGAGGCGCCTAGTGATCCGTGGTGTTAGTGTAATCTAGAGGGAACTAGGGAGAGACTCTAGAGTGGTTGAGCTACATAGGCCTACATGATGCCATAGAGGCGCTATATGTCGGGGATAGTTAGTCGACCCTTCCCTCATGACGCCATAGAGGCGCTATAGGTCGAATTGCATTGACGGTTTGGAGTGATGAAATGGAAATGTTTTGGAAACGGGGAGTGACATTACATTGCATTGTATTTTATAGCATGGCATATATTATTCATGACTTGGATAGTTGATATTGATATAGTGGTTGTATTTCTCCTGGTATGGCATAATCCCATTTTCCGTTCCCCCATTCATTGTGAATTCACGGGGTTTTAAGATATGTGTCTTAGGCACATCCTACTGAGCCATTGTGCTCATCCCTTTATTATTAATATTTTTCAAGGCACAGGAAAGAAGTAGTGGAAGACGTTCCCCCACAAACCTAGTTTGAAGTTATTGAAGTCCTTTTGCTACCTTTTGTACACTTATGTCTATTCTTTTGTAGAGCTGCATTTAGAAAATGTATTCGTTTTGTATAGCACGGCCATGTACTATAAATATAACACTAGAAAGTAGTTTGATGTAAATTCTGAACTATGTCGGTAAAATGTAATGAACGGGAAACATATATATACGATTGTGTAATCTTTGATAACTATTATTATAGAATGTTGTGCGTTATTATTGTATAGTTTGCCATGAATTCGGGATTTGTTTGCATATCAGGTTTGGTACAGGCCGGCTCACAATAGGCCTAGCGTATCTGATGTCTCAGCTGTAGATAGCAGCATTCCAGGGCCCGTTAGCCAGCTGACAAGGACGATCAGCCGGCTCATGGTGCAAAATTTTGGTATTCCAATAGGTTGATTCATTGTGGATGTTGTTTCAATCGACTGATAAGCTCTATCAGCGGACCGAACCCTCTTGTCAGTCGGCCGATGTTGGATGATCGGTCGGCCAACAACCCTATTTTCTGAAGTCCCGAGAGTATTCATTTTGTGAAATCGTTTTAGCCGGCCGACCCTGTAGATCAGCCAGCTGAACCTCTTTTTTAG